CTGGGCAATGCTGATTTCATGAGGATAACGTTCCAGTCCATGGACGTAATAGGGATGTTCCATCTGCATTGACTGTGCTCCTAATGGTTCCATTTGGAGAGCCACTAGTCAAAGCATCTCAACACGTATGGGCGAGCATATGGAGGTGAAGCCCAATTATCCTATGAACATATGGATTCCTATGACCTTTACATAACGCCATACATGGAGACACTGAAGCGATAATTGATTAACAAAGTCGCCTATGGGTGTGGGGACAAACGAGCACTCAATTACGTCGTGCCAACGCCACCCTTAAAATCCTATTAACTTTTGTTGAGTCATCAACTGTAATAGAAATAAGAAAACATAGAACTTTCGTTGTTCAGCTTCAGATTGGCCTACCAACTTCAATGGGAACCATGTCTTACCTGGTCGTCACAATAACAATCGCACACACTTGTCTAACCGCGTAGCAGCCATTGCTGAACTTCGGAATCCCAGTTAGAAGATTGACTGCCTAGGCCATCATTGTTAGGATGTAGAATAAGTCACCACCAGGTAGTTGCTAGCGATCACTATAGACCGCTTCATGTGCTGGTTAGTATGTTTGTCCACACTGGTTACGTCTTAAGCTTCGGATTATGTGGTAGCTAGGATCTCCTCCTTAGACAGGCATCACAAGTTGCGCATTGGACGGTTTCAGTTTGGAGACCAATCATCGAGGTTTCCTTCCAGATAGATATCAAAATAGAACAGAAGCTGGTGCTTGACCACTTTCATTGGACTGCCTGTCGTTTTTGCTGAGGCTTCTAACTGGTAACCTTCTTTGAATTCCCATGCCAATGAGAGTGGCAAGGACACCAAAACAGCGTAATAAACTTCGCTAACTTGAAAGTATTGGATGCGACTGCAAATGTGTGCCACGCTGGAATCTTGTTATTATGCATTACTTTTTTGGTTAGTGTTATTATACAGCAATATTTTATTGATTATACAATGGTTTTATTCTTTGTCTTCAGTGACTGCATCTGGTTTTATCGCTTATTATAACGTAAGCTGCGGATTTTTTGCAGCTGGTTTCTACTTTTCTTCTGTATTACTGTGGTGTGTGTTTTTCTTTGTGACTTTCGCGCTGGTAGCTTTTATTCGTTTTTATATTCCCAGCTGTGCATTTTTAAGCGCTATCCTTTTAATTATTTTGGAGTCATAATTGCTTTGCCGTAATGTAATCTTTGGCGACTCGTTAGGATTTGCCCTGTTCTAATCTGCCAGCAAGACCAGTACACGGGAACGCGGTGTTAATGATTTTGTGCTATATACCGCACAGGTATTTGAGACCAAAGACAAACTGCTATCTTTTAAATTTTAGAAAATATTTTTTAGAAACTATTATGTACCGGCCTCTTTATCGCGCTGTTTAAAGCCGCGACATTCATACGCTTCTAAGCGACGGGTTTTCACTTCCGAATTGCTGTCTTCATTGTTTACCGAGTGAGTGTTTCGGAAGACGTCTGACCCAACCATCTAAATCCTGCGACCTAATCACTGTAATAGAAAAACCGTTACGCTCTGTCATAAGTGACATGGAGGCCGCAATGCCAATCATGTCCATTATTCGGCATGACCGGCAATGCAAAGGTGGACGCACGGTAATTTACCTTGGCAGCTACCCCAAAGGTAATCGCATAGGGTATCCGGTCAGCACGGCACGACCTTCGCTTTGGTACCGTCGACGTTTCAAAGGCGCGGCATTTGCTTACTGGCGGTCATTCATCGCATTCCTTCCTCCATACTCGTGATGGACTTCCACCGGGCCTCCGCAGCAGGGAGCACTAAACACACGTTACAGTCAAATTATCATTACTGGTGAGTTCTACTTCCACGCTCTAAATATTCGAGCGTTTCTCTAAGAACCATTTAAGGTCGAACTACATGAGCCTTTGGCTAGGTACCCGCTGTATGGCCACATCAGCATATCCATACGATTCCAAGTAAAGAACAGGCCTTCAATACGGGATCAGACATGTAACAACAAAGAAAGTAAGGGTGAGAGGTTTATAGGCGACATCCTCTTGTGACGCAGCCATGTAGCCTGCTCTTTAAAAACATTTATTACGCAGAGCAGCCTGTGGAAGTCGCGGTGGCAACAAGAAAGAGCATACGCTACGACACACCAGCTCGGTTAGGTGGAACAGCCAACTGGAATATTCTGGCAGACGATGCACCAGCTAGTGCATGGGAACGTTATATCAACCAGTTTAACACTGGTTTCTGAAGTTTCACCGTCTAAAACCATCTACTCAAAAAACGTAGCCTTATTTGTGCGAAGCAGTGTACAAAAGTGTTTAGCTTTGCGGAACTTAATTCAGCACCCCTACCGACTATGTCCGATTAGGATGAACGGGATTGCTTATACGAGCGACGGTCACCACTGTACACAGCTTGCTCGCAAAACTAGAATGACTTACCAGCGGAGGTTGGCAGTGTTTATGGTCTCCACGCGCTTTTGTATCAACACGGCAACAGCCCACGTAGGATAAAACGGGGAATTCACTTTCTTGCAACAGCGGACTGACTCACAGCACACCAACGGATGTGGCAAATACCTTACACTACAACGTGCTGCAACCTAGTGGTGCCTCACCGGCCACATAGTCATTTGCCACTAGTTGTTCCGCCCCCAAAGGTCACTACCATATCATCCGCGGCAGAAGCCGTACTAAAAGGCTGTTGGGTTTGCGTAAGTACAGCTCTCCAGGGCAGTAGACTTCGGCACAGGAGTTGATGTGGTCATTTCCGACTTCTCGAATGCGTCCGACCGGTCACACCTTCATATCCTGCTCTTCCCATTCCAGACCATTGGTGTTGTTGATTTACTTCTAAAATGGCTCAGACGCCTCCTTTTGCACCGGTCCCTAGAAGTACGGGTTAGTGAATGGCTGCCTGATCCTATCCTAGTTGAATACAGAGTGCCACATGGATCATCAGTTGGACCGCAATTATTTTTGATGTATAATAACGTTTCCACACGCCGCGTAAGCTGGAACTGCCTCCATTATGCCGATGAAAAAAAGATGTGTGGGGCGATCAATACCCCAGGTAATCCCGCAGTACATCAAGCTGACCCATAAATGGAATACGCATGTTCAATCCAGTAGCTAATTCAATTTAATGTGCTGCATTTACGGCACCAGTTGGTATAAACCTACAAACTCGGCAACCAGAAGTTTTAGACGGCTTTTGGCTTGCTGGATTTGAGCGCCTTTTCAGGCTGACTTTGGATGTTCAACCCAGGCTGAAACAGCATCCAGATGTGGCAACAAACCGCTGGCTTCCTGAAGTGTGCATTTAGACGAATTTATCGGTCGATGTTCCCACAACATTTGGGCTAACACATGGTGCCTCGTGTATGATATGCAATACAGACCTGGCAGCCATGGTTGAGACGAAATCACTTAAATTCAAGCCCCTGAGGTTGTCCGGGGGCCGTCTAATCCGCCGTGTACAAGATAGTTACGAGTGTTTCACATTGTTGGCAAACAGTGCAGGCGATTGCACGAGGACGGTTTTCGACGTACCAAATTTGTGCGATGCCAAGCACAAGGGCAGCCACTTGCTAGGGTTCAGTCACAAAGCTGCTTGAGTAATCATCAACCCAGACTGGCAGCACTGCACAGCCGTGTAGATTGCTGTCGGGATTTCTGTTCTGTACTCGGATGCGGAAAGTAAAATGCTGTGATGGAATCTAGCATATGTGCGACGACGCTGGCAGAGCTCGCAGCCCTAGTTGACCGGGAACTTAATTTGTTACACCATCTTACACGACCTATTACCCACGAATAACCGCGGGTGTATTTAAGAGATTTTACTACCAGTCAAGTCGCATGGTTCGTACCAATTGTTCAGTTGCAAGTGTACAGTAGGTGGAGTCACGATTATTGCCAACCACTCATTTGCCGACGTTCTTTATGGATTAAACCTGAAATAAGTTTTCTACTACCTACTCTTCCGTGATGTCACTGTGTAAACCAAACTTCGCTATCGACTTGTATAAAAGTATTTGTTTTTGAAAACGCGCACCTTGGCATGTATCAGCTACACAAAGTTTTGGTACAGGTGGATTTGACGTGCTCACTAATTTTAACACCCCAGTAATCAAAAATAAAATGTGCTATCCTATACTGCGATGTATGTGATGATTACACAGCCCGGCAAAATCACCGAACTACAATGCAATTTCCAAACATCCCAGTCTCCAGAACAAATATACAACACTTACATTGCCACTGGCTGAACATGAACAAGTAAGGAACGGCGAATACCGGCACATTGCAGGCCACACGCTGAACATGTCAATCGTACGTGGTTCAGTAGAAGCTAGTGGTGCACCATATCCGTGCGCTGGACATTAGCTATCGCTGCAAGCCTCTTAGGTATACATAAACTTACGTAAGTAAAAGGCTTATGTTAAATATACTTCCAATATCAAAGCGTACCTGCGCGCGTACATTGAAGCGTGCCATACAATTAGTGAACTTGTAGCGCTTGTAAATTTACTTATCTTTCATTGTACATTCCTTTCCTATTACAACCCATTCTTGTACATTAACCTTGTACACTTGTTTTGATTGATAAATAACACACTTTTTGAACCACGCGGGCAACTCGACGTGTTCTCTCTGTGTTCTTGTGTCGCGGATTTTATGGCATTGTCGATCACTACGTTCTAACCTCGAGCAATATTCATCTACAGATCTCGTTCCGTCTCAACTGGTTTCACCATCCTCGTCGTTGCAATCCATCGGAGTGGCTGACGCAAGAGGACTAGGAAATTTTATGTGGTTGGACTTCTAACCCACGTCGAACCCTTCTGTGAGTCTTGTCATTTTGATCATCATTTATTCATCTTTATTTCTCTTTGGGTCCGAGTCCACTACATAATTGGTGACCCCGAATTTTTTCTTAGTACTTCATTTTTTGTAAGCTCAGAACTCCCAGTATTTTTTTGCACGACTACTATGGAATCCAAACCTAGTATGAGTACGGTTCCCTGTGAAAACCACATTTCCTTTAATTTACCTGCTTTTTGTGCATCTAATCCTCGCGTTTGGTTCACGCAAATCGAGGCATATTTCCGTTGCCGTAGGATTACTGCACAAGAGACTATGTTTTCCTATGTGGCTACTCAGCTCCCTACGGATATTGCCACTGAGGTGATCGACGTCCTTGACCCAATGCCAACAGAATTTCCGTACGATACCCTTAAAGCTGCTGTGTTAAAACGCACGACCGCTTCTGACGAGTCTCGCTTAAAACAACTCCTATCTGGTGTTGAACTTGGCGACCGCTCCCCATCTCAGCTATTGCGACACATGAGAACTTTAGTTGGTAGCTACAAAGTTGATGACTCAGTCCTGCGCCAACTTTGGACTAAATGTCTACCACCTAATACCGTCCTGATTTTGTCCGTCCAAGGTGATGAAATTTCGCTTGATAAGTTAGCTGAACTAGCCGACAAGGTGCATGAATGCTTTTTCAAGCATCCCATTAACCAGGTCTCGCAGCCTACTAACGCGTTTGAAAGTACATCTGTAATAGATAGGCTGCAGAACCAGATTGAACAGCTAACCGCCCAAGTTTCCGTCATCACCAAACATCTTAACCGCCGTCGAAGTGTATCACCTGGCCGAAACACACGTGCTCTACCCTCCAACCGTGACCAACTGAATCGTTTCTGTTATTTTCACAAACGATTTGGGGATGCTGCACGGAACTGTAGGCCGTGGTGTTCGCACCCTAAAGCCTTTCGCTTAAAGGACCAACAGGGAAACTCGCCGGCCAGCCAGTAATGGCGACAGCTGCCGCTGGCCAACACCATAGTCGCCTTCTCCACGTGTTTGACAACTCAACCGGCTACCGTTTTCTCGTCGACACGGGTGCCGAAGTTAGCGTCATACCCGTAGGTACACAAAAACGCCAACTTTCTCCGGGGCATGTCACACTCCAGGCGGCCAATGGTACGAAAATTCAGACGTACGGTCAGAAACTGTTAACCCTAGATCTGGGACTCCGACGTCGACTACCTTGGCTTTTCTTAATCGCCGACGTTCAGAAGCCCATTCTTGGCATCGATTTCTTGACGAAGTTTGGCATCATCGTTGATCTCGGAAACAGGAAACTCCGTGATAGCGTCACCTCACTTACTGTCTCCGGCAAAGTCCTCGCTATCGACTCGATTGGCATTCGTTTGGCTCTGCCTTCCGACAATAAGTTTACTGCTCTTCTGCGCAGGTTTCCGTCCATTTATCAACCGATCAGCGATGACTTTCAGCCCAAACACGGAATCCGCCATCACATCGAAACTAAAGGCAACCCGGTCACCGCCAGACCACGACGTCTTGCTCCCGCCAAACTCGCCATTGCCAAATCTGAATTTCAACACATGATGAATTTAGGCATTATTCGTCCATCGAATAGCCCATGGTCATCCCCACTTCACATGGTTTCAAAGAAATCCACAGGGGATTGGCGACCATGCGGCGACTATCGCGCTCTAAATAACGCCACTGTTCCAGACAAATACCCAATTCCCCACGTCCATGACTTTTCCATGAGTCTATACGGGAAACGCCTTTTCTCTAAAATTGATCTAGTCCGCGCGTATTACCAGATTCCGATGGCCCCAGAAGACATACCTAAGACCGCAATCACGACGCCATTCGGTCTTTACGAGTTTCTCCGTATGCCGTTTGGTCTCCGAAACGCTGCCCAGACTTTTCAGCGATTTATCGACCAAGTCCTTCGTGGTCTTGATTTTGTCTTTGCCTATATCGACGACATTTTGGTGGCCAGCACAACCGAAGAGGAACATCTGTCTCATTTACACCAGGTTTTCCAACGTCTAGCTCATTTTGGTGTCACAATCAACCCTGCTAAGTGCATTTTTGGCATGCCTAGCATCAATTTCCTTGGACATCACATCGACTCCACAGGTATACGTCCACTTCCGGACAAGGTCACTGCCATCACCGACTACCCTGTGCCTCAGTCCATAAAGAGCCTCCGACGTTTCCTCGGTATCATTAACTACTACTGTCGTTTTATCCCTAACTGTTCCGATGTCCTAAAACCGCTTACCGATTTGCTGCAGCGTAACCCGAGAAAGCTGATTCTGTCACCCGACGCTCTAGCTGCTTTTGAAAAAGCCAAACAAACGCTAGCAACCGCGACTTCGCTGAGCCATCTGAACACAGACGCCAGCACCAGGTTAGTACTTAAAACCGACGCGTCGCAATCAGCCGTCGGAGCCGTTTTACAACAGGTCATAGACAACGAAGTCCAGCCTCTGTCCTTCTTCTCACGGAAGCTCCAGCCGGCTCAAACCAGGTACAGCACGTTCGGCCGTGAACTTCTTGCTGTTTACCTCGCCATTAAACACTTCCGCCACATCCTCGAAGGACGCCACTTCATTGTTCTAACTGACCATAAGCCACTTGTCTACGCATTTACCTCGCCAGCCGATCGCTATTCTCCTCGGGAGACAAGGCATCTTGATTATATCTCGCAGTTTACCTCTGCCATCCACTACATCGAGGGGCCAGGCAACATTGTCGCTGACGCGTTATCCCGCACCGACATTCACCAACTGTCGACATCGTCTATCCATTTAGAGGACATTGCTGCTGCACAAGTCACTGACTCTGATTTCGAATCTGTTCGCAATAACAAAGCACTGAAGTTCGTCCAGTTACCCTTGCTTCACTGTGATTCGAAAATACATTGTGACATTTCCACCGGTAAGCCGCGTCCATACGTCCCATTGTCGTACCGGCGGAAAATTTTCGATCATCTTCATGGCCTCTCCCATCCGAGCATCCGTTCTACCGTTAAGCTCATCACGGATCGCTATATTTGGCCAAACATGAATACTGACATCAGGCAATGGGCAAAATCCTGTATCCAATGCCAAAAGAGTAAAGTTCACCGTCATACCATTACCACTCCAGGAACTTTCTCACTTCCAGACGCGCGTTTCAAACACGTTCACCTGGATATAGTTGGACCATTGCCTCCTTCAAACGGTTTTACGCACTTATTAACTTGTGTTGATCGTTTCACAAGATGGCCGCATGCAGTCCCATTGCGTGATACCTCTGCCGAAACTGTCGCTCACACTTTCGTTGAATCGTGGGCATCTGTCTTTGGTGTACCTGCGACCATTACCACCGATAGAGGACCACAGTTCACGTCCACCTTGTTTCGCGACTTAAACCGCCTCATGGGATGCAACCACTTACGCACTACCGCGTATCATCCTGCTTCGAATGGTTTGGTGGAACGTTTTCATAGACAGTTGAAGGCAGCTTTAACAGCCAGCGCTACATCCTGGTACGAAGCCTTACCTATCATACTGCTCAGTATACGCAACACAAGCAAGGAAGACATCGGCTGCTCTCCTGCTGAGCTTACCTTCGGTACAACGCTTCGACTTCCTGGTGAGATGATCATCGATTCCAGAATCACCGGTGAAACTGATCCCACTTCCTATGTCGCCCGGCTTAAACATCATATGAGTCAGCTCCAGCCAACGCCGACGAGAAGGACATCACGCATACCTCAAGTTCATAAGGATTTACATTCATGCCCCTTCGTATTCGTTCGCGTTGATGCTGTTCGCAAGCCCCTGCAACCGCCTTATGAAGGGCCATTCAAGGTGATTTCGCGACATGACAAGTATTACGTTGTCGATCGTAACGGCACGCCTGATTCGGTCAGTCTCGATCGTTTGAAAGTTGCCTACCTGGATGATTGTTCCAGCACCACTCCGGTTTTCTCACACTCATCCTCCTCTGCTACTGATCCTCGTACCGAATGTACTCGTATGCATCCAACGACAACTACGCCTACAGACTCTACCTGTTTACCACAACCCACTACAACACATACTCGTTCTGGTAGGACTAACAAAACCCCTGTGCGTTTCCGCGACTACACACAATAATACTATCGAGCGTTTTCTCTCTTTCCAACGCTCTAGGGGGGGAGTTCTGTAGCGCTTGTAAATTTACTTATCTTTCATTGTACATTCCTTTCCTATTACAACCCATTCTTGTACATTAACCTTGTACACTTGTTTTGATTGATAAATAACACACTTTTTGAACCACGCGAGCAACTCGACGTGTAATCTCTGTGTCCTTGTGTCGCGGATTCTACGGCATTGTCGATCACTACGTTCTAACCTCGAGCAATATTCATCTACAGATCTCGTTCCGTCTCAACTGGTTTCACCATCCTCGTCGTTGCAATCCATCGGAGTGGCTGACGCAAGTAGACTAGGAAATTTTATGTGGTTGGACTTCTAACCCACGTCGGAACCCTTCTGTGAGTCTTGTCAATTTTGATCAGCATTTATTCATCTTTATTTCTCTTTGGGTCCGAGTCCACTACAAACTAAAATGCAAACCAGCAACGTGCTCCAAGCACGTCAGTTTTGATTAACAATTATGCTAAGATGCACAGGTATGTCGAATGGCATTACGACAACCCACAACGCTGAAATCCCTGATGGCTGCTTGAGTGATGCCGGTACGAAACTTAAGCCTACATTCCATCTGCTCATGAGCTTATTGGGCTAACCGTCCGGGCGTTGCTGTAGTGCCCTCCCATCTCTCTCTTCAATTTGACCTTCACCACCTGTCAAATGTACTTGATTGGATTGTGGTATGGTGTTTATGAGCTCAACCTCAGAATGGTTAAACCTTCATGTCCTCTCGACTGACGACCGTTCTTCCAGTCGTGTGACGGTGTGCATTATCACACAAAACAACAACCTACTCGAGCTCCATCTTCCGTTTCAGGTTGCCTGAATAGCTTATTTCCATTTGGTGGTTAGAGGCTAAGATTACGCGTCTATAAATAAATGAATAAATAGTTTTTTCTAGTCTTTTCGAGGCACTGCATCAAGGGCATGTTCATGGTATTACAGATATGTGTGATGGGCAATTGCACAAATTATTATTTTTTGACAAGCAGCATAGGAATATATGTGTCTGTTGACAGGAAAAATTAGGTTTACATCTGTAACTAAAAGTAACCATGTTGTGTGATTAGGTATTATGCCTGTGTATTTGTTCTTTGGGTTCGTAAACAAAGGAGGAAATCAATGGAACGCTTTGAATCGGATGAGGTTCGTGATGTGTGAATACTCCTCCGGAACGGTGAAGGGGCTGTGAATTTATTTAGTGGCGGGTGGAATTTGCGACTTCACTTTCAGCCTGGGTGCGTCATTTACTTTAACTTGAGAATTCTACTTTTGCCAAATTTTCAACCGACGCACACCTTTCGGGCGCCTGAGCACAGGCACGTTGACTGTAAACGTGGAAATTTACTTCGTCAACCCGAATGCAAAACTTGCCATTGCTCTCAATTTGGAAAAATGCTGAATGTATTCTCTGCGTATCATTTTGATTCGCCCACTGATCATTAGTTCGGGAACCTTATAGATGTACTTCAGTAATAAATCAATATTTTATTCACTAATGCTCATCAAACGACCGTCTAGGTGCCGTGCAATTGCGTCTTTTAGATGTTCTCGTCCATTTCTGTCCGTACCTGTATTTGCATTTCCCGTGGTGCAAGTGTTGTCCTTTGCGGTCTAATTCAGGGTCTCATCTACGTCTAACGCTAGCAGAAGCCACTTACGACCACGCGCTTGCTCAGTACTTGGCTCCTATTTAAGAGAATGACGCAATCAGGAGTAAGGTGTTTGCTTTTTGACGTTGTTTACCGTTGCCACTAGCGGCCAGCCATCATCGTTGACGAAGTCACCTAGAACACAGTCATGAAT